GACCTACTGGAATGTCTATATAATATCCTCCTAATACAAAGTAAATATGTCACCGTGCTTCACTATGAGTCACAGTATCCTTGCAAACTAAAAAACTCTCTCTTTCATAACCTTATCTTTGAGCTAGCATACAAGATGTACTACTCACCTTTGAAGGAAAACATGCTTGCAGGGAATGGGGTGTCTATGGGCAGCCCCTTATCTGGTCATGTGAGCTGATAATCAGAGAACTTGAGTAAAATGTCTTATCTTCATACATCCAGAATACAATCTTGTACAAGGTAAGTGAACAACATCCTTACAATATGGTACCAAAAACCTGACCTAAAAGGCTTCCTAATCAACAACAACCCATATGGCCTTTTGCCTTAAGCTTGAATAAAAAAGTTTTCATTCTTTCCAGCTCCTGGATATCTTGTTTACTTTCTATAGTGGAAAAATATTCACCAAGATCTACAGTAAGTCTACCCATCACCCTTTGTTTATAGAGTGAAAAAAAACTTTAGAGTTTTTTTTCACTCTAGATGAATTAATTTCAAACTAGATGAATTAATTATAATAAATATCAAAAAACTTTAAATTCAGTAAAAATAAACATTTATTAATGAAATGGAAAGGTTCAATCTAAAGATGGCCATTCAACCTAGTTGAAAACATTTGTTCCATTAATAAACATTCTATTTTTACCGGATTTCAGATTTTTGATATTACTGTATATTTCCGCAGATAAGACGACCTTCAGATAAGACAAGGTATAAATTTTCGTCAAAAGTTTTATAGTTTTAGCATATATCTGTCCTATAAGACAATCCCCAAACTATCAACAACCTATGAATTTACTTTAGATCAGCGATCATCATCTGGATACTAATACTGTATAGTGTATACAGAATTATGCCCTATTTGTAATTTTTCAAATAAAAAAAATTTTATTTTCTTGCATCTGGCAGCATGCCTTGCTATTGTTGCAAACATTTCTACTGATTTGGGCATTCAGGTAAATGACCTATTCATGAAAACGTCATATGGGCTATTCTATTTTGTGGACACCCTACTCCCTACTAGTAAATAATTACGGTTTGTCCGTTTTTTACAATGGTTTTAATTTATATAAATTTCAATCTAATTTTTTTTGTATCTGTCCTATAAGACTACCCTAGATTTTGGGGGCCTTCTTTTATCTTTTATGATTCAACTATCGTCTTATCTGCAGAAATATACGGTAATTGTTTCAAGTAGAGTCTCAAGACCTTATAATATCGAAACAGCTACCTTCTTTGCCTTGAGAAAGCAATCATACATTTATCCAATGCGATTCACAAGCTTAAGGAGTTTGATACATCAGGAAAATAGCAAATGAACTCAGATACACTATAAGTATGATTGATACTCTGATCAAAAAATATGAGGCTGTCCCTTTGAATGTAGCACATGACAAAAATACTAGTTTCAAAGCTGTCAAAATATAATCATTCTTTGTGGAAAGTATTCAAAGAGTTAGCCACAATCAATCAGTTCAGTCTTGGATACATGCCTGCCTAAGAAATGGCAAAGATCACACTGACAGAAAACACTTCCTAGGAATCTACAACACTCCCCTGAAAGACAGAAGGACAACATCATGCTCCTTCATCACAAGGTTAAAAAAAAACAAAGCCAATGTAAGAAAAGGGAACTCACCATTGCACTTGTCGTATATACAAAGGAAAATGAGGATAAAGTCAACTTCAGAGAGGCCAAGCTCTTAAGAATGATAAGGGACACTGCCAACCTAAAGGAATTGGAAAGACTCAAAATTTATAAGTCATTCCTAAAAGGAGGGCTATCAATCACAACGACATTGAAATGATCCCAAACACATGGAAATTGTGCTAGGAAATATCTCAATTATTTTAACATTGGCCAGTCATCATGACAATCTGTTTTGTTTTATCATCATCACTAGTTTTACTTGTTTGACAATATACCATATTTACTTGCATATAAGACAATCTTGCATATAGGACAATGTGTGTTTTTGGAGATCAAAATAAAGAAAATTATATTTTCATAATTCTTTTCGTCCGATGGTCCCTTTAAATTTTTTGAACAATTTGAAGATTAAGTTCACCCAATTTGGGAACACCATTTATTAGTTTGTGCTTTAGACAATACATTCCTGGCGACCGACCTTCCTTTCTAGGCTACTAGCTGCCAAAAAACTAAAAAAGTCCTTTAAAAACACAAAAATTTCTCAATTAAAAATACAAATATTTTCTTAAAATAGGAACTGGTGGCATACGAATGTCTTCCTGTTATCATCTATCAGCAGAAACAACCCAAGAAGGTATAGAAGCATCTGTATATTTAAGTGTGTAATGCATTAAGAGTTTCATTCTCTTAATATTAAAATTGTACATAGACAATATATATACATTAACACCTTAGAGCGAGTGCAAGCCTATTTACAAATTATTTGCAATTCTGATAAATTTGTTTTAATCCATAAAAAAAACTAAATTTTTTCAGTTTTTTGCAATTATCACATGACTTAGTAATAGGGTTTCTTAAACGAGATCCCAGGATCCTGATTGTTTTTTTAACCCGAGAAATCCCACAAATTTCTTAAAAATTCACTTTTTTCTTATTTTGTGTTAAGGTTGAGGAAATTTTGCAAACAAAGTATAATTAACACAAACTGTCAGAATACATTTGTATTTATTAATTTTAAATCTACTTATTAGTTTTTTTTAAATTTTTCCTTGTTATGGCATGTTACAAATGGTCAATAATCAGTATGTAGCTTATTTGTGGCAGGACTCTGAAAATTCTTTACTTGTCGGAACCTGTAATATCTGGAATAATTGTGCTTATACTGTCTTAATTTTTAATTAGTGATATGCTGGATCGTTAAAAATGTATATTCGCAGATACAGATCATTGGTGTCTAGATCCGCTGATACAGATCTCAACTTTCGTACTCAGTCGGCGCCGGTGCATGTGACCTTGGACCGATAGTTGACGCTTTGCATTAGTAAAGCGACGTGTTTTGACTTGTACCACGCGTGTTTTTGTTTATAGTTTAGTGTGACGCAGAATAGCATAGATTATGTTTGTATTTTCAGAGAGTGTTGAGTTAAATTAAAATAAAAACAATGTAGACAAAAAAGTTTAGTAGTGTAATATGGAAATATTTTATGATAGTAAATGAATTTTGCATGATAAAATTTTTGCAATGTGAATGTGCCAAATATGTGATTTTAAGAAATAAAAAGTGATTTGAATTGAAGTTATTAGTATTTTATTGCTACCTATCTTTAAAATTTCATATAAGTAATGAAATTCATTAAGATAAAACATCTGTTCAAGATCTGCTAAAAAGTAACGGATAGGAATACGGATCTTTTTTTCCCCTTGGATACGGATACCCGGCACATCACTATTTTTAACCATGCCCAGTAGCTTCGATAACTGCATAACACCAGGTTGTGCAAATTGGGCAAGGATACAAATGAGTACAAAGTCTGCAAGTATAAAGTTTTTCTTCATAAACCTGATTATTAAAGCAAAACGAATTGCCAAATTATTGGGCTATAAGCTTGATGTTGCTATTAAAGCAGACGAGGTAGACAAATTGAGAATACTAGAGAGCAAAAGAAGTACTACAACCTTGAAAATTAACTCAAAATCTTCCAGGCTACAAGTGAAAAAAAAACACATAACATCTGTCTTCTCTTAAATGCATTAAAGACGATTCCACTAACATCAATTATATAGAAAAGGACATTCTCGGTAGCAGGACCAGGACTTTTCATTCCTAAAATAAGAATCAGATTGACTGATCGGAGTATTGACCATCTTTGCTTTTTAAAATCTTATTATAAAAATTTACAATAATATTTTGTATTATGTNGGCAGTTTTTAAATTAATAATGCTTCATAATATTATCAATTTGAAAGTTTTTTAAAATCCATTTATTGGTTCAAATCACCAATTTCAATTTAATAACTGTCAAACAACACAGTAATGAATTGTGATTTGCAATTTTCATTAGCATGAGTTTGCATTTAAGAATTTTATTCAAATTAATATAAGTTGTCATTTCCAATTAATAAAAAAATGTATAAAATAAGTAATTATTTATCGCAAAATTGTCACAATGCTGGGCTGCAATTTTTAACTTATTTAATTTAAAGTATCTGCTCTCCACCTGAAATTAGTAATGTCTGCCCCTGTATTTCATACTTTCCTGCTAGTAATATTCATGCCAGTCATCTAACTCCTTTCAGAGGAAAATTTTTGAATTAAAATAATTGACTTCTGGTGCAAACCAGAAGTTCATATATAGTTAATCAGGGCCTCCTGCCCCTAAGCTTCCCATATCTGGTCTCGCTTTCATCTAACTCTGTTCTCAAGATTAAGGAAGGACAGATAAAAAGATGAGTGGGAATAAATAGGTCTACATTTTTTTCAAATTTTAGCTCAAAGACTGACTTATGCTATTAGTCGATTCCGCATGACATGTCCGAACATGTAAGCTGAACAATAGTGTGGGGGGAGTGAGTAATCAAGAGTTGTGTGGCGCTCAAACAAAAGACTTAAAAGTAAAGCCTTCTTTTAAATATAATTTCTTCATATTTTTGAATATAAAAGATATTTTTCATTCATTTATTTATCAAATATTCAGAGAGAAAACAGAAAAAAATGTTATCTATAATAAAATATTTAACAACAGTTTTGCACATATTTGTCTGGTTTATTTATAATTATTCAGGGAATACATAGTACTCAAAATATGTTTTATACTTGTGCAATTTCTTAAATTCTGTCAATATGCACGACAAATGGAATATTTGAAATTTGGAGCAATAGCAAATTATAATATTCATGCAAAAGCCATTAAAAAAGAAAAAAATCTACCACAGGCAAGCAAAAACTAATACTACTACTACATTTTAATATCGATTTCAAGCATATCAAAATGATAATTTTAATAGTAACTTAAAATTTATTTTCATACCTCATGCATTTCGTAGAGAGATAATGCTCTACGAACATCAAACTTCCTGGCCATCATGAATTTCACAGCAGTGCTCCAAGATAAAGGACCAACATTTTGATGCAATCTCAGTTCATTGACAACAGATATAAACTCCTTAACAGCCTTAAAAAAGAAATAAATCTATACAAAAAGCATCTAAATTCATTTAACATATAAACATTTTATTACTTTCATATGCAATCAAATTTATTAAAATACTAATATTTTCATCATGCTATTAACTAATTAACACAAAATTAAAACATTATTATGTAACTTATATTCAATAATTTATAATAATTAAATGTAATATGTCTTCTTATTCTTAAAAGAAAACAATTATAATCAATTAATTTCATTCTTACAGTTAAAACTGAACAGAAACATACTCGGCAAAATAATTAATCAAATAACTAACACCTTATTCGCTGCCTTACAGTTAACATCGATCTACATTTCTTTTAAAATTATTATCTTTGTAATGAATTTAGAACAAAAAGAAACATTCTCATTACAGACAAAGTTATAAGCAGTGTAATATGCTACATTTTGGGTCTGTAATAAAACTGTTTCTCAAAACTTTTAATGAAAACAGACACTATTTTCTAAGCTATATAAATGAAACTGCTTTCTTCAGAAAGCAAATTTACTTATTAAACATTATTTACCTATTTTAGGTCATCTTCAACTTGAAATCACAAATGTTTGAAAATGGAACATAGATTATAAAGTTAACATAAATCAAATACTAATATTTAAAATTTCATATGTAATTAATGAGGAAGGTTGTGCCGTGCTTATCACACTTAGTTTTCAATGATATTGTTTGTGTGGATTAGTCTTGTTACAGATAGAAAGCATTACTAAACATTAAAAAATTGAAGTTAATCCAATCGGAAATATACTACACCGGGTTAAAGTACAACCGGCAAAGGGGCGCATGCGTGAATGACGACATGAATCCATGCGATAGAATTCTTAATGGTATTCTAATATGAATTGAATTTGAATTGCATTCAATTAACAGTCGTATGTTACCTGAAGAAGAAGTGTCAAGTTCAAAAACGTTCGTAACACTCTGTTTACCGAGAAGCACATCGGCAACAGGTTCCTGGTACGTTGTTTATTGTTTAATTGAAGTTAAAAAATTCCGAGCGACTTATGAGTATGCTTCACAGAATCTTTCAGTGAAGACTTTGCAGCTTAACTGATAATTATTAGATTGCAGGTGTGTCTCTATGAATAAACTTTTTTCTTGAATCAAAGCAATTTTTACATAAAACATTTGTAAATTATTGGGTTTATAATTTCATCTATTTATTTTCTATTAAAAATGTGTATTATCTACAAATAAGTAAGACAAAACCTTTCACACTTCGTTTCTAGCAGTTTAATCACTAAGTACAAACGTTTTAGGCCATTTTAAATGGCCTTCTTCAGATACAATAAGAAATTGACAACAGAGATAAGTCACCCTTACCAAAGTACAGTGGTACCTCAGGATACGAACGCCCCATCATACAAAATTTTCAGGATACGACACGAAATTCGAACATATTTTTGCTCCACGATACGAACAAAAACTCACCATACGATGTTACATTATTTCGCAGCGCCATTTTTTATTCATTTCTGTTCATTGGTCTCAGTCTGCGTGTTTGCTTCATCGTGGCAGGATCTTGCTCGATAAAGGAAATCTTGAGGCATTATTAGAAAGTGACTGATTTTATTGAAAATAAACATCCCAAAAAGGTTCACACTAGCTGTTTTGCTGCTCAGAGTAATGACATTTGCCTAAGTAATTTTAGAAACATTTTAAAAAGCAGGCAAAGCCAAACCTCTTTGGATAGATATTTTACCAAGCAACCTCTATCCAGTGAAAGTGAAGGAAAGAAAGCAAAAAGCAGTGAATAAAAATTAAAAAAAAAAAAATATATATATATATAAAACAACACTAATTTTTTAAATCTTTTCTAAGTTATTTTTAAGTTATTGTTACATTATGTTATGTAAGTTAAGTTTTAGTATCATTTCCCTTCTCAATCTCTTCTGCCACCAGTTTACACCCCCACTGTTGTCTATCCTCAAAGATAAAATGCAAATAAAACTACATTTTTTTAATCAATTATTATTCTATTATGGTTACAGTAATACCCCGAACTTAGGCGATAGATGGGACCGAGCGATAACCGCGTAAGTCGGGGTATAATTTCGCAATTTGTGTAAAATCCAAGTCAGTTGTATATAAGCTAATAAATGTTCTCGTTAATCTTATCTCGTCTTTTGATTCGTTCACAGTTACAAGAAATCACCACATAGAGTCTATCAAGTCTCCGTAGATATAACAAACACAAAAATAAATTGTAGCTATGTGTTGATTCCACGCGACACGTCCGAACATGTAAGCTGAACAATAGTGTGGGGGGAGTGAGTAATCAAGAGTTGTGTGGCGCTCAAACAAAAGACGAATTGATGAGATTTGAAAATCACATAACTCCAGGTTCGCGTAAGTCGAGGTATTACTGTATTTATACATTTACAACTACAAAATGCATTTTTCAGTGTTTTCCTTACTATAGTTATTTCTTTAATGTACTACTTAGCTTTAATTTGAGTGTTATTTTCGTGTTTGGAACGAATTATTTGGTTTTACATGTAATCGTATGGGAAAAAATTATTCACCTTACGACATTTTCATGACATGATCTCAGTTTCGGAACGGATTAATTTCGTATCCTGAGGTACCACTGTAGATAAAAGCAGAAATGTTGTTCTTATGAAGAAACATACATACATTAAGCTGCTTGAAGAATACGTTGGTTCTACAGAATGCAAAAAAAAAAAAAAGGATATTTAGACAAACTCCATAATAGAGATTTACCAGTTCACCACTAGCTAAACACCTATAACTAGGAAATGCTACAATGCAATCACCTGGGATACAGAGGCTATTCGGCTAAGCTAAAACCTATAAACCAGGCAAACAAATATGGCCGATTGTGGACAAATTAAGATTCCCAATGCTACACATTGAGAAAGGTTTACATGAGTGCCTCAGAAACCATTTGAAAGAATATAGCTACACCGTTTCGAACACTCATGAACTCATTGCTAAATTACAAAATATTGCTCTTATAGATCAAGAATTTATTACAGTTCTAGATTTTGAAACTATGTATCATTCCATTAAATTGGAACTGTGCTTCTGTGTCCTTAGAGATTTCCTCTTCCAAGCCTTTCCACCCAAGCCTAAACACCACAAGCAGGTTTTAGAACTAGCCCATCTAATGTGCTACACCTCCTTTTTCATCTTCAATCAGCAAATCTATCTTCAAAAAAGAGGTGTTCCAATGGGTAGCTTTCTATCTGGAGACCTCTGTTAATTAGTTGTTAGAAAATTAGATAGCCAAGTCCTAGAATCCTTCAACACAGAAATCATTCTTTACATGCATTATGTCAATGATATTCTTATTATTTGGAGATCCAAACCAGATATAAACAGAGTACTGTAGATTGTGAATAACAACCCATTTGGGCTTAAGTTAAAGTTAGACCAATAGAATGATAAGATGGCCCATTTCCTTGACCTCAATATATTCCTGAATCATGGTTGTATAGCCACAAAGGTATTCCATAAGCCTAATCTTCAATCTTTCTTCATCCCCTCAACCTTGAATGACCCCTTTACTTATAAAATATCCGCTTTCAGGGCTGTAATTCATAGAGCTTTTACCCATTGCTCTAGCATTAAGGATGTGCTACAAGAAATCCAACATATCAAACACATCGCCTTATCCCACGGTTACAATAATAAATTAATAGAAAGACTTGTTCAAAAAATACATAGTTGCTTAGAAACCGAAGTGATTAATTCCAGACCTCTAAAACAGCAAGGTAAGTGTATTGTAGTTGATTTTGACCCTAGAATGAGACAAGCGTTTAAAATCACAACCAAGAAGGTCAAAGCTGCTCTTACATACAAATGCAATCCTACGATATATAAACTTCTGGCTAATATCAAGGACAAATGCAGCAAAGCCAGAAGACCGGGAATTTACTCAATCCTGCTAGAGGACAACAGATTTACTCCGAACAAAAAATTAAAATACATTGGCTCAACCAACAGATCACTTACAAAAAGGATGGCTGAGCACAAATACGACACATACAACAAAAAGTTTAATTCCACCCTAGCCCAATTTGCAAGTGAACCAAATATAACAGCCAAATGGAAAAAGGCTAAGATTATTATACCTATGCTTGACAATAACAAACTTAGAATAACTGAAATCTTTGTGAAATTCCTCAAGGAGAATTGTAACAACAGCAGAGATGCAGACTTGCTCTCCTGTTGGCAATCACTCTTCGATAACCCCTTAAACTAAATAGGCCAATCCACCCTCATCGAGCCTGTTGCAATCTTTAGAGCATTATTTTTACTTATCTTGTTTTTTTATTTTCCAATTTTAGCAATTATCTCATCAATAATCATTTACACACCTTGGATAATAATATCAAAAGAAAATTAATGATGTCAATATCGTCTAAACTTTGTTATCAACAATGACATCACTAGTAAGAAGAAACCTTTGTAAACAGTGATGACATTTGAATATCTGCTAACCAACATTCCAACCGACCTTATTGTACCTGAAGAAAGCCATTCAAAATGGTCGAAAACATTTGTACTTAGTGATTAAACTGCTAGAAACAAAGTGTGAAATGTTTTGTTTTACTTATTTTAAGTAGTTCTAGCTTTGAATGCATAGAAGTGTATTATCTACTATTTGAATATTCATTTTCAAACTTGTTCTGTTAAAAATAAATTTACACTCCTAAATGTTTTTACATTTAGGAGTGTAAAAATATTAATAATTCAACATTTTAAACAATTAAACAAATTCAAAAAATCATTAGTTATAACTAATTCTAATATTATAATGAATTGTTATATGTAACAGTAAACAATTAACTTAATGTTACTGCTATGGTCTGTATTGTTTATTTCGTAAGTATATTACTTTTTCATAACTAATAAAACAAGCAACAGCAAAAATAAATTAAAGTTTAACATAATAATAATAAAATCATAAACTATAAAATAAATAATTATTCCAGTTTTA